GGTTAACATCAGTTTCCTCGCCAATGTATGAAAGACATACAGGGATAAAGCGTTCGTTTCTATATCCATTAAGAGAAAACAAGACTTACATCGTTAGAAAAGTGTCCACTGATCTTAATCTCAAGCAGAAAATATTATATATATTAAAAATAAGAAGTTAGTGTAAAGCATTATATAAAGTTTTTAAATCTATTTTTGTGTTAACTTTAATCATTTTAGTAGAAGTATGGGGTCACTCTTTAAGGATACTTATCGTTCATTTCGCAAGGAAAAAACAGTATAAAGCATCGAAACATTTCAATACAAAGATATTCTAAATGCTTACGTACAGAAGTGATAATCTGTAAAAGTTTACAGACAAAATAGGAGAAATATAGATCTTTCATGAGCAATATCTTACAAAAATAAACCATATAATGAATCTCAAGTTATCTTCAACGCCAAAAGATAAGGGGAGAAAAACAAACAAATAATATAGAATATTCGAACATTTGAAAGTCCATCCCCATCTTGATCTCAGATCTGCCATTTAATATCGGTCACGAAAATTATTACTGTTATAAGAAAACGTTAAAAAGGCACTTTACAATAGATACAATCCTGCTCTTCATTCTTACATAAATAACAAGTTAAAAAAACGGTGCAGTAGTTGCAAAACTTTCAATCACTTCTTCGTATCTGTCCATGATAAGATTAATGAGACTCATAATAATTTTCATGACAATTTGTAAAAAAGGTCAACTTGAAATTCACACTTTAGTTACAAAAAATTGACAGTGTTTAATTTTTGTTTCTCGTGGATGAAAAGCTGCTTTTCTTTTATAAAACATTACGTAGTTATTTGTTTGTTTACGTTCCCAGTTGTAATTATTATTCATACCATTCTGCACACTTTACTCATACTAAATGTTTGTTTGAGCATTCGGTATGTCAGGTTTAGAAATATCAAAATCGGCTTTCCTCTCACTATTCCCGGGAATAATCCACCAATGATGAGCTCACCAGTAAGTTTTAGGTCAGCTCGCGTATTAAACAAAAATAGGAACTGTTATTTTGGTGTACTTGTGTATACAATTAATAGACGTCCTCAACAGGGAAGCCTAAACTAGGCTGAAGCAGTGATTTTTTTCTTTTTAAATAAACAATCTAATTATATTGCCCATACACCAGTTATCGTTATTAAGGCAGAATAGTTAACATTTTGAAGTTCTTTCCCATGACACTTTCTAAGTTGGTTAGTGTGCAAAACAAGTTCAAGAAAGATAAACCCAAACCAGTACTGTTTGACATCAACTAACATACACGAGTAACTGCTTTTAAACTTTCCTGCCCTTATAAATCTTAACAAAATAATAAAATGCATGAAGAGTAGTTTTCTTTTGATAGATTTATGATACTAAAAATCAAGTTTCGATACCTGCGGTGGGCAGAGCGCAGATAACTTTTTGTGTAGCTTTGTGCTTAAGAAGAAACAAACAAATAAACAATTATTTGTTGGAACGAAGAGAAAGATAATTTCCCACAATAGTTTAAAGTTCATTAATCTTTTAAATAAAAAGCAATACCCCATTACATTATAACTTCATATTTTATTTCGTATGTTATTATGTGTACTGTCAATCCTGATTGAAAAACTAAGACATTCGGATCTTTACAAAATCGACGACAAAAAAGTTTGTAATCGAAATCGTAGCTATGATTTTCACTTAACAAAAAAAACAAAAACGTTTGTTTTAATACTTAGAAAATAATGGTCTTTATTTTTATGACTATTATGATTTAGAAGAGTATGTTTTAGATTATGATTGAAACCCTTAAAGCGATTTGCATGGTTTTTATTTTTATGACTATTATGATTTAGAAGAGTATGTTTTAGATTATGATTGAAACCCTTAAAGCGATTTGCAGTTCAAAAATGATTTCCAATTAACTTCCATATTTCTATTTTTATTACTTAAATGTGCTTATGATATTATATTAACTCATGAATGTTTGTCTTTTTTATTATTCTAAAAACACTCTTATAAATAGGATAAAACTTTCTAGGCATATTTTAGCGCAATCACCTGCATTAAGTAGTTAATGTGTAACTGCAATATTGGGTTTTTAGAAATAGGGAACAAAATCTCGTCATTGCTTTAATTTTAAAAATTCCTTTTTGTAACAGCGAGATATTTGTCCTGGTACCTAGTTTTTGATTCTGTTAGATAAGCATAAAAACACTGGACTTCGTTATGAGTTGTAACATGATGGACCGTATCTTATTATAATATTCAAAGCAGATCAAACACCTCGTGAAGAATTAAGAGGACTTTTGCCATTTGAGAGGAGGTAAACACAATTCAAAGACGTTTTCAAGCACAGCTTGTCATCTCAATCAAAATAATACAAACCCAATAAATTGATTTGATATGAATATTTTTTTCTAAAATTGAAAAGTTTTTTGTTTGTTGAATTTTTGCGCTAGCCGTCCTTAATTTTTGAAGTGATAGATTAGAAGAAGGAAGACAGCTAATCAAAACCACCCACCATCATCGTTTCGGTTACTCTTTACAAACAAATAGTGGAATTAAGCGCCACATTATAACGCGCAACAGCTGAACGATCGAAAATGTAAGTAAGGTAAGGGTATCGATCATGTGACCAAGAAGTTAAGCGCCCTAACCATCATACCATGCCAGACAAAATCAAAAAATGAGAGAGGCGCTCTAATGTCGCTTTGCATAAAGCTTTTCTTGTGTTTATTAACTATACATATATTCCATAAACAGTAAACATGAAGTAAACAAATGGTCTTACGGTGAAGAAAACTGTTGGAATGTCCGCGCGATTCAGTGTTATTTGAAATGGACAGTTTTTATATCTCATCATTTAAAAGACTCCACAACTCATGATTATATGAAAATATTTCGATGGACGTGGAGGGCACTTCAGATAAGGGTAGATAGTGCATACCAAATATTCTCATCACCCTTTTTTTTGTAGCTAATAAAATTTAGATAAATGAAAGTTATCCATAATAAAATTTTTTTGTATATCTGCCTTATCTCAGAGGTAGTAAAACTATCGCGCGTTTTATGTTCATATCACGTAAGGTTGTTTTTTTTTGACCCTGGTTAAAAAGTACATGAACAGTGGTAGTGTTATAGAATCACTTTCATTCTTTGTGTATTAGCAATCTTTAGTTACATTGTTAAATTACATTATTAAAAGTTAGATCAAATTAGAAATACTTCAAATACTCACACAAACATTATTTGAATACGCTAATATACATAGCAAGAAAGGTGTTAACTTGCCCTCAGATGAGTACAAGTGTTGGTAATAAAGGACTGGTAGATAAGGATGCACTGATTTGATAAACCGTGACTGTTAAATCACATTATTATAAATTAGAAATACTTCAAAGATTTACATAAACATTATTTGAATGTGCTAATATAGATATAGGCTGAGGGCAAGTTAACACCTTTCGTGGGTACAAATGCTGACCTTAGTAAGAGGAGGCAGGTAAAAGGCGCCCTAGAAAATTGGTGTGATAAATCATGATATCATCGTTGCAATACGATATTTCTGGCGAAGACCAGAAGATGAGTATTTGATCAAGAACTTTAGTGTGTTTAGTCGATAGACTGGAATGGTTTTATTTGATAATCGAACAGCTCTTTCAGCCAGTCTCGGTTTTCTTTGAGATGATAAACCAAACGTGAGCTATTATTATGTTATTTTAGCTTTGGTTAGGTGCGATGGGAATTGATTATTCAACATAAACAACCAGTAATAATTCACAAATTTTTAGAATACCTAGATGAATAATAATAATAATAATAAATGAGCCGTGCAATGTTATTTTGGGATTTGGCAGACGGTTAGTATGAGCTACAGTGGTACGCGCACACACGCATTGTTCATAGTCACAGTTCTCATATCCAAAAAAGGTCATTCAAACCGTGACCGGACCCCCCGCACAGGTCATCACGAGAATAGATTTTATCTTCCACAGAAATAATTTATTCAATTGGGTGTTTCTTTAGCAGTTCCACCAGACCCTCAAAAAGAGAAAATATGTTATTCCAGAAACTGGATTTTGAAGATGAGAGCTTCCAGCCGAGTATGTCAGGAACTGGTCGCGTTTATAATCTTTATCGAGGTGTCTTTTGCCAGCTAATTATCTTAAGGTTACAGCAATTTTTCTGATATTTCCATTTTTGTTTTTATTTCAACTCTTAACTAAACAAAAACTTCTTCACGAGAAAAGTCCGAGATACTCTTTCTTTTGAAAATATCGTATTAGTTTGAAATTTTTTTAATTAGCAACTTTGGCAATTTTATTGTTAGAGCAAATATTCATTAATAAAGAAAAAAGAAGCAAAAGCATAAAGCTAAATCGATGTAATTCTGTGTGAAAAAACAAAACGACGAAAACTTATGCATCATTGAAAAATGTTGAAACAAAAACAAAATTAAATCAAAAGTTGAAGGTATACGAAATGGGAACAATTCTTGACCAAAAATAAGTAGTCGGAAATAAAAATAAACATAATATTAACTTTATAATCCTCTAGTGGGTCATCGGAAAGTTGACGGACTTATAACGCTAAAATTCGGGGTTCGATTTCCAGTGATGGACAGAGCGCAAATATCCTATTTTGTAGCCTTACGCTAAAAGAAGCATACACACACACACACACACATACAAACATTAGCTTTATAAGGCATGTAGAAGATGGATAAAATAGTTCGATATTGCTACAATTGGAATAATCCAGTGCATTAGTCTGAACTGTATATGTTAGTTTATGTTTATCGATTAACTGGACTACTGCGAAATGGCGGAACTGTTGGCAACCTCTGATGTGTTAATCGTTGTGGACATCAACCAGCAAACAATGCCTGCTGCGTACACCATCTTTTGAATAATGAACTTGCCTTCACAAGCTGCGTGCGCTTGACGTTCGCGTGCGCGTTTTAAGACAGGTTTTTAAGAACGAAACCGTCAGTTTAGTTTTAGCTATTGTAGCAAGCCGATGGGTGCTCGCGAAAGGTGCCTCGCGTCTCGTGCCCGTGTGGCGATAGAGAACACATTACCTCGTAATAACGTCAACGTGCCAGCTTTTCTATCAAATTGCCTAGGATATCACAATTTATTTAACACCTCAGCTGAAAAGGGGCTTAGTAAGAAGCTATTAAGGTAAAAACTTGAAAGAAAACATGGGTGGTATTAAAGAATATCAGGGTCAACGGAAAAATTGTGGCATTTCTGAAAAAAACAGAAACACGACAGTGAACTTAATCCCGACGTCCAGGAGCTCCTCGGTTTCTATTCATGATCAGCAACAACACCAAAAACTTCATCAAGATACAAAATGTGCTCAACAGGATAACAGTCATCATCTGGACATTGCAGCATCGAGACACAAAACCCAAGAGGAATGTTGTCGGTGCGTGAAAGGCCCTACAGTATTGCTTTGGATTCTGTGTGTAGTGTCTGTAAGCCTTTCATGTCTCTTTGGTCTTAGACTCTTTCGCGTGGAAGAACGTCTGTATTCGCTAGAGACCAAGTACAGACAACTGGAGATGCAACACCTGAGCAAACAAGTAGAATTAAGCGACATAGTGAAAAAGGTGAGTAACTGTAAACGTAGCACCTTTCAAATTTCGACAATGTTCGCTGTTTACCAACCAGATGGTAGTTGAGTATAAAGATTAAGAAGAAAATCCCACTGAATTAACATAAAAGAAGAGCCTTCATTCTAACAGAGGATTCTCTGTTAAAATGCGTTAATAAATGGCTGGTAACAGAGGAAAGGAGAAAGAAACGCGTAGCCTTAGCTATGAACCTTGGTTTTAAACACAACCGTTTAACTTATGCCCCGATAAAAGTTCTCATTTTATTCCTTTCCATGATGTTAACTAATTATTTATTTCTAAATAACCATAACATAGTTTTACAATTACATTTTACACAATTATTTCCGTACTTAATTTTCTGTAAAATTAAAAAAAATATATGTATTACGTAAAATAATAATTATTTCTAATGTGTAATTTAGCTTTATGTCTCCCAGTGAGTCAATGGTAAGTTTACGAATTGCAATGCTAAAATCCGGGGTTCGATTCCCTGTTGTAAACAAAACGCATACAGCCCATTGTGTAGCTTTGCACCTAAAATAAGACAACAAGAGCCTATCTTTGCGCTTGTGCCGGATATGTTGATACCACAAGGCTCAAGGTAACGTTAAACACGATTTGAAGGATCAAAGGCAGTTTTATCTATGATTGTTTTCGAAGGCAACCCTGTGCACACGTTTTGTGTCTCAGACAACATGTTGGTGCCACAAACATAGAAAGGAAACGCCCTCAACAAGAAGCAATTATAATTTACTTTCAGGCTGTTACAGTTAACGGAGACAGAATGGGTCTATTAGCATCATGTACTGGTATCACAATGTAGCCTACTAACGTTGCCGTTAAGGCTGCTTCGCCAAATTAAATCTTCCTGCGAACCATTGAGGGTGTGTTGTCTTCTCTTTCAGATTTCACGACAGAACAAAAAGAAACAATATATATAAGGGGTGACTTGATTATCACGTGATATAATTTTATTGCTTTAATTGCTCCAGTTCATTAATTGACCTGACTGTGTGTTCTTTATTATGTTATGAAGATTCATATGCAGCACAGTCGTTTGTAACAGTTAATATATATTTTTCGTTGGCCATGTATATAATAGCATTATAAATGTATGAGAACTCCATTGTAAGAACCTCCATAAACTTTGATAAAAAATTAATTAAACACAATGTATCTAATTAATGAAGCTGATAAATAGTTTCACATGGATAAAGTGGGAAAAAAATGGATGTCATTTTATGTGCCTTACAAGTGGGAAAAAAGAGATTTCATTATATGCGTCTTACAGAACTGCAATAGAACAGGAAATCAAAATTTTGCAAGGGCAAAAATTTCACATTACATTTGCCTAAGATGCTTTTGTTACAAACTCTCTGATGGTTCGTAAATAACTTTATATATAAATAATGTTCGTTCACATTTATAAGACACAACTCCAAACTATGAACATCATATGTTTATAATTTAAAAATTTTATCGGTGGGAGCACCTTTGATAACGAGTAACTTGTAACATCAAATATTTAAAAGTCAAATAATGACTTCCTTGACCACATAAGGACGTCTAGATATAAATAAACTGTTTCCTACTATGAATGTGATACATTTACAGATATTCTCAAAATATAGAAATGACCCAGAGGGTGTAAATTGTGGAACATCTGGGTGCAAGTGATCATTGCTCTATTAGGTTCAATGTTTTGCTGCATATAGAGATCAGGAATAATGATATTTTGGTTACAAATTTCAAAAAAACCAGATTTTGAAGGGACGAGACAAGAATTATCTGTTGTGAATTGGGCAGCTTAGTTATTTAGAGACACTGATAAGATGTGGAAAAATTTGATAAACATAAATTGGTAAACATATTCCTTATAGAAATAAAAGAGTAGCTGGAAGTAAAAAAACGGGTTGGCTCACAAAGAGTATAAGAGATAAAATTAAAGAAAACCAAAATAAATTTAAGAAATTTGAATTGACTGGTATGACAGGAGATCTAGAAGATTATAAAAGATCAAGAAAGTTGGTGAAACGGGAAATTAGGGACATCAGAAAAGGATGTACGAGAAAAGGTTGGCTGAAAATGTAAAATATATACCAGTAAGGATTTTTTAAAACATATTAAAGGAAAACAAAATGTTAGGATGAGAGTTGGGCCTTTGGTAAAGGGAATGATAAAGGAAGGTTCGTATCTGATGATTATAAGATGACTAGATTATTAAATTTTGCCTTTTATTCGGTTTTTACTAACGAAAATTTAAGCAGTATTCCATATCTTGAACAGTTGATAGGTGGAAGCAAGATCGAACAAAATGACTGCATTAATTCTGAGCTGGGTAAGAAAAAATCGGAAAGTTTAAAGAACGATAAGGCTTTTGGCCAGATAATATTTCCACAAGGGTTTTGAAGGAAATTAAATATTGAGTATATGAGCTACTTGTTACTATTTTTGTCAGTCCTTGAATAGTGAGCAGGTACCTGAGGATTGGAAGTTAGCTAATGTAATTCTTCTTCTCGAGTGGAGAAGCCCGGCATGGCCAGGTGGTTACGGCACTCGACTCGCAATCTGAGGGTCGCGGGTTCGAATCCCCGTCACACCAAACATGCTCGCCCTTTCAGCCGTGGGGGCGTTATAATGTGACGGTCAATCCCACTATTCGTTGGTAAAAGATAGCCCAAGAGTTGGCGGTCGGTGGTGATGACTAGCTGCCTTCCTTCTAGTCTTACCCTGCTAAGTTAGGGACGGCTAGCGCAGATAGCCCTCGTGTAGCTTTGCGCGAAATTCACAAACAAACTTCTCAAGTGAGGTGATAAAAATTGTCCTAGTAATTATAGACCCATTGGTCTTATATCAGTTGTGGTAAACGTTTTAGAAAGTCTGTTAAAAATG